CTGGATTCTATCCTTACTGATACCCCATCACTCTCTAAATTTATCTTTTCTTAAATTCTAGTTCTGATGCAAACCTGCTTTCTCCTTCCTGCAGCAATGTGGGTACATGTTCATAATAAACAAACAAATACAACTCTTCAGTTTTGAAACTACAGAGGGAAAACCCTCATGCAGGCTTCTAAAATCCTGGGTCACATCGCCTCAGAAGAAATATGCCAAGTTCCACCAATGACTGAAAATAATTCAAATTAAAATATTTTTTTCAATATAAACTACTGACACAATTTCATCATGCAAACTGGAACAATTTAAGTTGGAAAAATATGACTATATTATATGTATATAATATAAAAATCACAACGATAAGCACTTGTCCTATTTTTTTATAAGCTATTGAACTAAAGTATTTCCATCAGTTCCTAATTATTTGCTTAATCGTCTTGTCATCAGCTAGTGCTCGCCAGTATTAAGCAACAGCAGCAACCAGGAAGAAAAAAATTCTGGAAGGAATATTTTAAATGCAGATAATGCCACCCATTATCTTCAATATATATCTACAGGGCAGAAAATGGAATTAGAGAACAGAAAAATCAAGATTATTTCAAATAAAAGACTCTCCTGCCTCACTGTCAAGATGCCAGCATATTATTCATTGACAATTGTTATCAGTGTGCCCATATCTAATGACCAGCATACCCTTCCTACTACCACCGTCTAATTTGCTGTTTATCTGGTGTGTTCTGAGACAAGACAAAAACAAGCTAATTAACACAGTGTGTAAAATAAAAGCAAACATGGGGCGCCTGGTGGCTCAGTTGGTTAAGTGTCTGCCTTCAGCTCAGGCCATGATCCCAGGGTCCTAGGATCAAGCCCCACGTCGGATTCCCTGCTCAGAGGGAGCCTGCTTCTCTCTCTCCTCCCCACTCGTGCTCTCTATCTCTGTCTCTCTCTCTCTCAAATAAATAAAATCTTAAAAAAATAAAATAAAAGCAAACAGGTTCTGTGGGAAAGACTATCTTATCAGTAAAGTACACGTGCTTTTAGTTCATGAACTTAATGCTATCGACTTCAGTTACTCATGGGCCTCTTCTGATTAATTTCTGATTCTTAACTTTGTTCCTGCTTCTTGACTGTGTACAGTTCCTGATTCTACATAGATATACATATAAACTATTATCTCATTGGGAAAGAATTCTTCCTTCACATCAGCCTCCCTAACTAGCTTATGAACTCTATGAGTTCACAAGCCACGTTTTATTCATCTTTGTACCTTAGTATCTACAACAGTGTCAAGCACACAGCAAGCTCTCAATGAATGTTTGCTTCTGAAATGACTCACAGGGGCTGCCATGAGTGAAATGTAATGATATATAGCAATTTGTAGCAATATGCACATAACCTTTCGTTAAAGAACAGAAGCTCTAGGCTATATGGCTGCTGGCTGCTCAATCAGAGCATTACAGGGTATCAGGACTTTGGTAAGATAACCACACAGGCACAGTGCGCCTGGGTGGCTCAGTCGTTAAGCGTCTGCCTTTGGCTCAGGTCATGATCTCAGGGTCCTGGGATCGAGTCCCACATTGGGCTCCCTGCTCCGCAGGAGGCCTGCTTCTCCCTCTCCCACTCCCCCTGCTTGTGTTCCTGCTCTCGCTGTCTCTGTCTCTGTCAAATAAATAAATAAAAATCTTTAAAAAAAAAAAAAAAGATAACCACACAGGCACAGTGTGTCCCTTAGCTTTGTAGCTAACTTGTTGCAATTAATTCAACTTAAGTATTTATCAGATCTGGCCACTTGGGGTATAGTGGTAGACAAGAATATCAGATCACTCTACCTCCCACATATCCCTCAAATGCATTGCTGCTTTCATCCAAGTTCAGGCGACCATCATCTCTACTGGAGTATTCCAGTTCATCTCCCTCCTTTCATGTTTAGTCCCCTCCAATTCCTTCTCCACGATGCCACTAAAGTGAGCTTTCTTTAAAAAGAAATTCCGGGGGTGCCTGGGTGGCTCAGTCGTTAAGTGTCTGCCTTCGGCTCAGGTCATGGTCCCAGAGTCCTGGGATCAAGCCCCACATCGGGCTCCCTGCTCAGCAGGAAGCCTGCTTCTCCCTCTCCCATTCCCGTTTGTGTTCCCTCTCTCGCTGTGTCTCTCTCTGTCAAATAAATAAAAAATCTTAAAAAAAAAAATTCCAATCGTATCACTCTTTAAAGCCTTTTAAAGCCTTCCCTCTGCCCTTAAGATAATGTCTAAACCCCCTCAAATGACTTAACAGGCTCACCCCAATTTACCTCTCCAGCCACACAGCTCACCACTCACTCCCTAACAGTCTTTATCCTAGCCATATTAACCCATATAGAACTCCATAATTAGACCATGCTGTCTTCCAGTGGAAAACTGTGCTTAAATGCGTCAGGAAAAATCTCAATAAACATTAAAAAAAACTCATTATGGATTTAGTTCTCTGAAACTAACAGGCTGCTTAAGGCCAATTGTTGACAACTACAGTCATCTAAACAAATGTTCCTTCTTCAGAAAGAAAAAAGGAAAAATACAAATGAATTGAGCTCTAGGGGAGGAAAGGTCGGAAACATAAACTTCTTGAGAAAAGGTACCAAAGTGTTCACGTCCTGGTGCTTATCATCACCCAGCACATAATGGTTGCTCAATAAATGCTTGCTGAATGAATGAATGACAAAAGTGAAGTGAAAATAAATTCTGGGGACAGAACAACCCAGAAATATTAAGGGGAGTGGTCACGTGTCCCAATTCTGACCAGAAAAGATTGAAGGAAAGGGCTACTGGAGGTTTCCAGGAAGGGCCTTCTTCATTCTTATACAAGAACATAGAAGGCCTGTTTCTCTCCTACAGGACATGAGTATGGATGCAAGTAGACCTAGTGGCTACTGGCTGCTATTTTACAACCACTCAGAAAGTTGGCGCTGTGGAAAACAGAGACAGAGCTTCTCATCCTGATAGCCAATGTTGAACTTATGGTCCCTTTACCCCTGGACTTCTAGTTATGTGAGCCAATAAACTTTCTTTTTATTTAAGTCAGTTTGACCGGCACTTGCAGCCCAAAGTCTCCTGATACTGTCTCAGAAGCAACAAAGAGAAAATCATGTTGATGATGAACACAATATGTCATCATTTCATTTTGTAGCCTAATCAGAAACTAACCTCAAAAAACAATAGCAAAATGAATCATTGTTATAAAGGAATACAGATCTTCTACATAACTGGTAAGGCATTAAAACTAGATCAAATAATTCAGATATATTTTCTGTTAAAAAAAAAAAAAAAGTATTCAGCTCTCACCGGATAGAATTAACAGTAGATTAGACTTTATAGAAGAAAACACTAGTGAACTGGAAGACATAGCAATATAAAGTATCCAGAAAGAAACAGAGAGAAAAAAGACTGGAAAAAAAAAATGAATGAACTGTGAGAAAACTTCACATGGTTCAATATATATGTGATTGGAGACACCAAAGGAGAGGTAGAAGAGGTCAGGAAAAAATATTTGAAGAAATAATGGTCAAAATTTTTCTGCATTTGATTAAAATGTATAAATCCATAGATTTAAGAATCAACAAATCACAAGCAAAAGAATCATGAAGAAAACTACACCAAGGCACATCATAATCAAATTGCTTAAAACCAGTGATAAAATGTAAAAAGCAGCCAGAGGAAAGACACATGATGTACAGAGAACAAGATTTAAGAATTACAGCAGACTTCTCCTCAGAAAGAATGTACTTCAGACGACAGTGAAGCATCGTTTCTAAAGTAATGAAAGAAAAAAAATGATCAACCTAGAGCTCCATACCCACTGAGTATTTTCAAAGGAAAGCAAAATGACTTTTTTGGTCATAAAAGTTAAAAGAACTCACCAACTACAAACTCACACTACCAGAAATGTTAAAGGAAGTCCCTTAGGCAAAATGAACACTATACCAGGTGGCAATATGAACTACAATACAAAGGAATAAAGAGGCCTAGCAATGGTAAATATATCAGACTTTTTTTATTTTTGAAATCTCTTTAAAAGACAATTAAATGTTAAAAGCAAAAATAATAACAATATATGGTGTTTATAACATATGTAGAAGGAAAATGTATAAAAATGATAGCACAAAGGCTGAGGGGAGGAGATAGAGGTATGTGGGAAGAGGAATTATATTACTTGAAGGTAGTCTATGATAAGTTAAAGATGTATACTAAAACCCTAAACCATAAAGCAACCATTAAAAAAATTTTTTTTAATTTAAAAACCCAGAGTTATATCTACTCAGCCAACAAAAGAGATAAAATGGAATATTAAAAATGTACTCAATTCAAAAGAAGGGAGAAAAAGAGGAAAAGCAAACAAAGAACAGATGTGACAAGCAGAAAACAAATAGCAAGACAGATTTAAGCCTAAGCATAATCAATAATCACATGCAATGCAAATGGCCTAAACACATCAAATAAAAGGCAGACATTGTCAGACTGCATAAAAAGCAGTTACTTATAAAAAGACTAGATAGATATAAAATAAAAAGACATAAAGGCTAAAACTAAAAAGATGGGAAAACATCTATAACGATAACACTAATCAAAAGGAAGCTGAAGTAATTATATTAATACCAGACTACCAGACTAGTATATTTCAGAGCAAAGAATATAATCAAGGATAAAAAGAGTCATTTAATAATAATAAAGGGTTCATTCATCAAGAATACATAATAATCCTAAACATTTATGCATTCAATAAGTCAGCCCACCAAAACAAGAATATAGAAAGATGCCTTTCATGGTTAAAATGCACCATCAACATTCCTGAATCAAAAGTGAGCTTTGCCAAAATGCGGTTTAATATCTTTATGTAATAAGTGGCATGCAATTCTACTAATAAAAGTGCAGTATTCCCCAAAGGGTCAAAGGTAGTAGTGTGTAAAATGTCAAAATATGTATGACTTCAATGCCAAGTCTGATCAAAGTGATCTAAAGCTGACTCACCTTTCATATTGCCTATCTCGTGGTAATGAAGCACCCCAACGTCGAAAGTCCATGATTAACATAAGTAAAAGGAGACAGGATATGAAGAAGAGTCCTAGGAATGCCAACCGCTGACGTGGAAATGGGCTCACTGTGGGCACAGTGAAGTACCAGGAGGCTGGGCAGAGGTAGGAAAAACTGATCCTAAAATGAGACAAACATTATTAGTAAGAAAAGTCTCTACAGTTGAGCGCTAAAAAAAATGGTTTTTAAACTGGATTAAAGCCCTTCCTAATAAAGGCGAAAATTTATGCCACCAGAAGTCTATAAATGTTCTCCTAGTCTCAAATTTTAGAAAAGAACCTGTATGGTTCATGGTGCTTCTATAAATCAGAAAAGCCTTATCTGCTCTTTTCCCAATGTCTGCACTTTTGGGTGTAACTGAATTAAACTCATTTTTATGAAAAGATCACCAGTCTCCCCCGTCAATCTCATAACACTGAAGAATCAGAGCAACTACGACATTCCCATCAAGAATGACGTCAAAAAACCAGATAGTCAGAATACTTATTTAACTAATTAAAAAAATATTTTAATAAGTAATATATGCACATGGTAAGAAAAAATCAGTTTAAAAGGATACAGTGGAAAATGAGTCTTTTGCCTTAACCCACCATTTCCCACTCGAAGGCAACCACTGGTACCCAGTTTCTATGTATTTTCCCAGGGATATTTCATGTTTACACAAGCATAAATGTATATAATATATGACAATATACATGTGTGTATCTCCATTCCTCTGGTTTTACACCGTATCTACTGTTCTCCATCTTTCCCCACTTACTCTATTTGACAACTGTTCCATTTGGTACATACTGATCCACATTAATCTTTTCTGAAAGTTTCAGAGCATCACAATGTATGGATACACATATTCAACTATTAAGTTCACTTTCCATATTGATTCAAAAGGACCTCAGCCTATTTTCAAAGTTCATTAAAAAAAAAAAATCTTTGTTTAACCTCCTCAAAAAGCACATAGCTTTCTAAAAGAACACTACATCTTAGCACTTTTCGGATGTCAGCAAGCACTCATTCACTCCATCACCCTGGGGTTACGAGCCAGAAACTATAGTGTCTGCCTTCAAAAAAAAGTCACTTTGATCTTCTTTGCATCCATCCAAGCTGCCAAGTCCAGAAGCAGCACTAGGGCAAACTTCACTTGTAAAAACATCCCAGGGCCCCTCCACCTACCTGCCACCCCCAACTGAGCCCCAAGCTTGAGGAGAAAATGTGCAGCCTTACCTAGCCATGGGATCCCTTCAGTGGTCTCAGTGCCTGTCACCTCCTTTTCTTTTTGCCCTGAGAAACTGGTCTCCTTGTCTCAGGCATCTCCTAAGTCTGCAGCCTGTTAAGAGTTCGTTAGGTTTCAGGCTTACCTCCAGCAGTGCCCACAGGACAAGCCTTCCACGGGAAGGCCAAGGCGCCCACCCACTCCAGATGCGTCCGCTCTTGTTCCCGGGGCCCAGCTGACGCTAAGCCGACTCCCCGGGGGCCGGGCGTTCTCGAGGCACCGGCGTTCCCCAGGTGGCGGGGTGGGGGTGCCCACTTCCCCTCCCCGCCTATCCCCGTCCCGCGGCCCTCCCGCGCTCGCACTCACACGTCGAGCGGCCCGCAGGCTCCCTCGGCAACGTTCCGCTGAGTCCAAAGCGCTTCCCCCCGCGGCCTTAAGCCCAGCCGGAAAAAGGCCTGAGCGGGCGGCGGCGCCACGTCCCCAAGGAAACCGCAGGGAGCCAATGACTGACGGCCGACCCGCCGAGAGGGGCCCACCCTCCACCCAGCCCAGGCCGCCGGCGAACTAGCTCCGTCGGCCGCACGTCCGTTCGCCAGAGTGGCCAATCCCCAAGAGCGTTCGGCCGCTAATGCCCGCCCCGGGATTTCGAGCGCGTCCAATCCGGAAGGGCGTCGTGCCGTAGCTCCGCCTGGACGGGCCAGCGGTAGGCGCTCAGGTGAGCCGTGCGAAGCGGTGCAAGGGTGCCCTGCGCCCGCTGACCTCTCGGCGGCGCGATTTCTCTGCTCGCTGCTCGCTAGCTGCCGCTTCCAGGACTGAGCGGCCCAGGCGGTTGAGTCTTGCGGTGGCCGCGAGAGAAGTCCATCCCTTGCCCACAACCTATCAGAGGTATTGTGTCCACCAACCCTGATCGCCAGAATCAAACCTTCCGTATAGCCTCCCAGACTTATGCCCCGGCTTCCTTGTCTTGTCCCTGTTAGAGAAACATAAATGGGGGAGAATATCGTTTACACCGAAGCGCTTATAGTATTCGTTCAACATTCATTGAATGTCTGCTGTGTGCCAGACGTGAGCCGCTGTGTCCCTGCCCTCCCAGACCTTACAGTAATAAATACGAAGGTAATGTTTCTTTAATGTTTTTCTTCCTTGCTTACACCAACCGTTTCTCTCATTTCCAGGAGGGAGCCATTTGGACAGGATAAAGTTCAAGTCCTTACAAACGTGGCATATACATGGCGATCCAGGACCCACCCATGCAGCATCTTCTGCTGCTCCTCAGCCCCCTTACTATGCTTCAACAACGCACATCTGTGGCTCTGCCCTCTTAGGCTTTGTCCATTCCGCCTTCTCCAACCCTTCCATCTGCCTTGAATATCCTTCCCAGCCTCTTAGCCAAGCCAACTCATATTCATTCCTTACCACTTAGCTTAAGGGTCACCTCCCCTAAAAACCTTCCTTGCCCTACAACCCCGTCATATATGCCTGTTGTTTCACTTACCATATTGAATTACAATTTATGTGTCTGTCTGTCCCTGTCGACAGAATATGCTTGAGGGCAGGGACTATCTGCTTCCACAGCAATGCTGGGTACTGTCTGGAGCATACAATACAGCTAATCTATGATAAATAAGTGAATGAATGTAGAAATAAATGAAGACCACCCAAATGAGATCAAAAAGAGGCTATCTGTTCTACACCTGTTATAGAAAAGTGGTCAACCACCAACACTTACATCTGGCAGAGACCTAAAGACTGTCAGGGGAATGGGAAAGCTTTAACTGGTGTGGGGGGCGGGGCGGGGAGAAGGAAGGCTTCATGTATGCTCTGATTTGAGAGTTTTAGCATGGGGAAGCTGGCGGTGGGCTTACTAGGAGCAGGGCATCTTATGTGATTGTTTGTGGGGAGCATATTTGGCTTTCTCTGGTTGGTCCTGAGTTAGAAGGCAGGGAAGCTGATAGTGACCAGTAGTGAGAGCACTAGGCTATGAGCAGCCTAGTTGGTCATGGGTCACAATTCTAATCATCGTATATGGTCTGACATTGTCCAGTTTATATGTTCAGGCTCTCCCAGCTATTATTTTTTCCCTCCATTCCTCTGCCAGCCTGAATGGGCTTTCTAACTTTCCATCAATTCTCAGTGTTCTGTTCTTCTTTGTCCTTCAATCCCTACTCTGCTTCAGGTGTTATATTTTATCTGGGCCCCCAAAAATCACATTGAGTAGAATAGTTGGATAAAGTTAGGATTAACTACAAAATTATACAAATATCAGGTGTTTATATTATTCCAGAGCTCAGTTCAGGTAGTCATGGGGAAAACTCAACAAATGTTTTGGAATATATATATTTTTTAATTCTTGAGGTTGTCTGCCAACTGTGCAGTTCTGTCTAACCTATGTATGTTTCAGTCCACTTAATGGGTCTTTTTGAGTGGAAATAGAATTCCTATTTATGTTTTAAATACTACTTAATTCATGTGATTTATGAACTGTATTAACTTAGAGCTTGAAGGTGCATTAAAACATCAACTTACATTTCATAACTACTGTTATAAAACAGAAAAGAAACCCATATTTTAATCCCAACACTTCATTATACTTTCTTTGTCTATTGTGTTTGGATAATACTTTCTTCAACAAGTCCATATGCTTTCAGGAATTTGTAAAACATGATTCTTTAAAGAAGCCTGCAATGCTTATCTGATTAACAGCTCACAGGGCTGAGTTCTGAGGTTTCCAGTCAGGAGGCCAAAAAAAGTAGGTTGAGATCATTTCCCCATCTCATTTGCTGTAACTCTCAACATGTTGAAACAAATTACAGAAATCCATATTTCAAAACTGGTCTTTAACTGCCTTTCAAAGCCTTATCTACAATTACATTGACAATTTTCTCAAGAAGTCCTTGACTCTACCCAGCTCTGAGCAAAATCAGCCATACCAGCCCCACACTCGGTATACAGTTGTCTGTATCATTTTATTTCCCCTCAGTTCTCCTTCATTCTACACTCCATCCTGCTTTAACCTCTAAAGGAGTTGAAGTACTGTGGTCTTCACTCTCCTTTCCAAGTTTACTCACCTCTCTTCATGTGCCTTGTAGGCACCTTCTTGTCCATGACAAAACTCATTGTCTTGCCACTCTTACTTTATCCACCCAAACCTCCTCCATTCATATTCCCAACTTTGATCAACTACCCTGTGATTCACCCAAGCAGAAATTTGCAAGTCATTTTAGAATCTCTTCCTTCTACTTCCTTTTTGCTGTAGGGGAGCAAAATTTGCCACCCCCCAAATGGGTCTCTTTTGCATGTGGATTATTTTAGGCTGATTATTTTTAACAAACAGAAGGCTCAGGAAGGACCTTTCAAAATCCCCCCCTAACTGCCTACAAGAATTTGGATACAGGACCTGCTCCAGGAAGGGAGCTAGCACCACAAATAACTACAGTATAATATGAACTAGGTGTGGCAGACAGGGAGGAACTCAGCAAAATCTGTTTACTAAAATTCCTTTCTGTGTCCCATTTTTTTCTTTATGGATCAGCAAACATTTGTTTACCACACTTACTCTTTTTCATCTTCCTGTGAATTGTCCTCCTTCCCTTTGAAGTCCCAGCTCAGAATGGCATATAAGCCTCAATTGCCTGACTACCTGTAGGCCTCTTAGTCTCATGGAACTCCCATCTGTATGTAATTAAATTTTATTTTCTCCTGTTAATCTGTCTCATGTCAATTAATTCTTAGATCAGCCAAGAGAATGTTGAGGGGCATAGAAAATATTTTCCTCCCCAATACATATTTCATCCAGTTAGTGACTAGTTGTTCTTAATTCGAGTTTCTAAAATCTTCTGATGCAGCCTTCTAGCTGGTGACCCTACCTCGAGACTAATGCCCCTCCTTAGTGCCCCTCCATTCAGATATAGTGAAATATAATCATGCTAATTCCTGTTTTAACATCCTTGTGGTTCCCCATCCCAATTGGATATAATCCAGATTCCTTGGTATGGTATGGCAGATTCTGCTGACTGCCTACACAAAAAGCCAACAATCTCTCTTCCACCTTTAACAGAATCCCAATTTTATTCTTATAACCACACTGCTATGCTTGGTCATATGCTTAAAGAGTGCTAGGCTCCAACCCCAGCCCCAGGGAGTAAACTGTGATTGGTCTAAGTCAATCATGGTGTCCCACTCCCTAACCAAATATTGAGCCTGGGCATCTGATGCAATTCTAGCCAATGATATTGAAGGGAAGCCAGCTGTTGGGAGGAATGGGAGAAAGAGGGGAAACATTTCTGGGAGAGGTTTTATCCAACTGAAAAAGAGCATAAAAAGTTTACATAATGAGAGTAAGAAGAGAAACCCCTTTTCTGCCTCCAGAAGTAATCTTAAGGATATGATGCCTGGAGCTGCTGTAGCCATCTTAAAACCATAAGGTGGAGGAGTCAGGGTGTGGGGTGGGGGGAAGCCTAGAAATAACAGAATAGAAATACAGAAAAATCCTGGGTCCTTGATAACATCATTAACGTCATTGCTAACTTAACCAACCCAGGAGCAGCCCTACATATGGACTTACAATTTGAGATACTAAATTCATTACTGCTCTCATTTTTAAGTCTGTTGCATCAAGTAGTTCTTGCACTTGTGCTCTCCTAATTGATACATGTGGCTTTCAGTGCCTGATATGATCTAGCTCCCAACATCCTCTGAGCTCCCCAATAGGTATTCTCACCCATAACCCTGACATATATACAGTTCTCAGAATTGTGCCCTCTCTTACCTCTGAGCCTTTGTACTTGCTATTACTTCCGCATAAATGACTTTCTTTCACTCCTTTACCAAAGGAACTCCTGCTTATCCTTCAAAACTCAACTCACATGTCACCTATGAGCTCCCCCAGTCTGCCAAGGTGCTTCTTTTTCTCTGCTCTTGTAGCACTTTGCTCATGGATGCTTCTATTAGGGCAAGAATAATTGTTTTAAAAGCTGGCAGCTTTGTGAGTGGACCTGGTACCAGTTGGCCTGATAGGAAGACAGAGTAGCTAGATTTGGGACCTCAATGGGTGTGTTTGGTCAAGGAAAGTGGGATCCCTAGGCTTAGCCTAGGTGGAAGAGGTTTAGACCAAGACTGATTGCTCTGCCTAATAAAATACAGGATTTTGAGCATTCCTTCTAGAGACTAGGCTTGGGAAGCCCTGGTAAAACAAAAAGAAAAAGACATGAAGGAAAAGAGGGACCTGTACAAGCTGCTAGCAAACAAGACTAAAGAGAATGACCCATGAGAGATTTCCTGCATTATTTCTCTATAGTTGTTTCACAAATTACCCCAAAACTTGGCAGCTTAAAACCACAATAAGCATTATTATCTCTCAGTTCCCGTGGGTCAGGAATTTGGGAACAGCTCTGCTCAGGGTCTCTCATTAGATTGCATTAAAGATGTCAGGTGGGTGGGGTCATCTGACATCTTCACTGGGGCTAAAGGATATACTAAGATGACATGCTTGCATACCTAGCAAGTGGA